GTTTGGTTTTTTTTCAAGTTGACTGCTCCTTTTACCTTTAGTTCAGTAGAGATGGGCAATTCCAGAGCTCAAATCAACCAGATGATTCTAATAAAAGTGTCTGGAGTGTTTTCTGTTTGAGAGAAGAACTCAGAACTCAAATGTGCAGGTTTGTGTGTTAAACATGTGAATGAAACAAAACACAACTGTAGGTGTGTGAATGTTGTGTGTGTGTTGTGTGTGTGTGCTGCGTGTTGTGCCTGTGTGTTGTGTCTGTGTGTTGTGTGAATGTTGTGTGTGTGTGTGTTGTGTGAATGTGTGTTGTGTGCTGTGTCTGTGTGTTGTGTGTGTGTTGTGTTATGTGTTGTGTGGATGTTGTGTGTGTGTGTTGTGTGAATGTGTGTTGTGTCTGTGTGTTGTTGTGTGTGTTGTGTGTGTGTGTTGTTGTGTGTGTGTTGTGTTGTGTGTGTTTGTGTGTGTGTGTGTGTTGTGTGTGTGTTGTGTGTGAATGTGTGTTGTGTGTTGTGTCTGTGTGTTGTGTGTGTGTGTGTTGTGTGATGTTGTGTGTGTGTTGTGTGTGTGTGTGTGTGTTGTGTGTGTGTTGTGTGAATGTTGTGTGTGTGTTGTGTGTGTGTTGTGTGAATGTGTGTTGTGTTATGTGTTGTGTGGATGTTGTGTGTGTGTGTGTTGTGTGAATGTGTGTTGTGTGGATGTTGTCTGTGTGTTGTGTGTGTGTTGTGTGGATGTTGTCTGTGTGTTGTGTGGATGTTGTCTGTGTGTTGTGTGTGTGTGTGTGTGTGTGTGTTGTGTTGTGTGTTGTGTCTGTGTGTTGTGTGTGTGTGTGTGTGTCTGTGTGTTGTGTGGATGTTGTCTGTGTGTTGTGTGTGTGTGTTGTCTGTGTGTTGTGTGTGTGTGTGTGTGTGTGATGTTGTGTTGTGTGTGTGTGTGTTGTGTGGATGTTGTCTGTGTGTTGTGTGTGTGTCGTCTGTGTGTTGTGTGTGTGTGTGTCTGTGTGTTGTGTGGATGTTGTCTGTGTGTTGTGTGTGTGTGTGTGTTGTCTGTGTGTTGTGTGTGTGTGTGTGTGTGTGTATGTTGTCTGTGTGTTGTGTGTGTGTGTGTGTGTGTGTGTGTGTGTGTGTGTGTGTGTGTGTGTGTGTGTGTTGTGTGTGTGTGTTGTGTGTGTGTCTGTGTGTTGTGTGTGTGTGTGTGTGTGTGTGTGTGTCTGTGTGTTGTGTGTGTGTGTGTGTGTGTGTGTGTTGTGTGTGTGTGTGTGTTGTGTGTGTGTTGTGTGTGTGTGTGTTGTCTGTGTGTTGTGTGTGTGTTGTGTGGATGTTGTGTTGTGTGTGTGTGTTGCGTGGATGTTGTCAGTGTGTTGTGTTTCTCTTGTTTAGTTTTGATTTGTTCTTTCTTTTTTGTAAATGTTCTTTTTGTTCATGTATTTAGGAACCCCTCACAAACGAGACGTTACATGTTACATTCCCTTATAAACAAACAAACAAATAAATAAACAGATAAATAAATTTGACCTTTGGAGATGTAGACAAACTAATAATAAAGTTTTAGTCCAAAATGTGTGAATGAAACAAAACAAAGTGCAGGTTTGTTTTTGTGGAGGGAAACACATTCTAACATGATTAAAGTCCATTTTTGTAAGAGTTCAGTTTTGTAATATGGAACCTTTAACTTTGTCACCTTTTCAGTTAAGCACATTCTGATCCTTTAATGAATAGTGCTGCAATTAAGGATGTAACGATATCAAAGTCTCATGATACGATATCATCATGGTATGAACCTCACAACAAGATATTTATTAGCTCATGATATGGTGGGGAGGCTCACAATTAGGGATGTAACAATATCCAAATCTCTCGGTACAATATTTTCATGATATAGCCTACATCTCACTGTACAATATTTATTGTGATATTTTGTGGAGATTAAACAGCTAAAACTGTGAATATACTCCTCCTCCTCTCTTCTTAAAATGCCTTGACAAGACTTAATCCAAAGAACTAAGAGTTAAAAGTGTTAGAGCTGCTTATTTCTTCTTGTTGTCTGTGCTTAAATGGAGCAAAGGATCATGGTCTATGTAGTTCTTTGTCTTTTTTTAGCTGTTGTTGCACCATAACTCTTCATTTAAACAAAGAGACTTGTGATGTGATATATTGTGATGCTCCACAATATTATTATGAGAACTTTGACAATACGATATCACGATATTTCGATTATTGTTACATCCTTTGCTGCAGTGATTAAAGGCCCTGAACTTGACTCTTTCCTGTGTATTTCAGCACATTTTGTCTTGCCCCAGTACAGATCGAGTGTATAAGCAGCTCTTGAGGTCAAAATAAGTCCGCTGTGTACTGTCTGCAACTGATTAGAACGTGTTTTAACGTCAAAGTGTCAGGAAGTGTGTGTTTGCATGCTAGTTGTTGCAAAACTCTGCTCTGGTCTGTGAACATTGTGTAAAGAGCTTATAAACTCATCATGGTGAATAATGAGGATGTTCTGAATGCATAAG